GAAATACAGATGGCGCTTTTCTTCGTGTTACCCAATTTTAGGCCGAAGATTGGTCTCTATTTCAGTATGTTACAAAGTACTCTGTGGTTTTTCCTCCAAACACTAAACCAAAGACTATGTAACTATTTCGTAGCGGTGTTACCAATGAAAATTTATACCCCGCCGTGTACATCGTGTAAAAAAACCGTGTTTCTATAGAAAAAGATCATCGGTGGGCTGTAGCACTAGTAAAAAAGGAAAACTTTAACCAGCCACAACTAAAAATCAATACCCTCTGTCCCACTTTTCTTTTATCTATCACTATCTTATTTGAATTTCACTATTGCCGATGTAAATCATTGTTAATAAACAACTTTTTTTACTCGTAAATTATTCGAAAATAGATTTATTAAAGAAAAACAGTAAATTAGTCTAGATCTTAAAAAAGCCGTAGATTCTGCTATGGCCTTAGGGTTTTGACTTTAAGCCATAGAATTTGTAACTTGATGGCCTAAAAGCCGAAAAACACAACTAATGCTGTAGCATTGGCAACACTGCTTCGTAGTAAAAGTTGGTATTACCAACTTTAAGTACCAAGAACTTTAAGTACCAACTTGGTAAGAGTAGGGCCTTAGAACATGAATGGAGATCTGTCAAACTCAATTTCCGCGGCAAATAGTAAGAAGATAAAAATATTTAATTTCAATTTTTTTTACAAAAGGAAAAACAAGAATGGACACCAACCTAACAAAGACTTGGAGTAAAGATTCTTATTTATATCAATTTGGTAAGTTTCATAATTCGGATAATATCTTTGATATGTTAATGCCTCCGAGCTAGGTAGTTTGAAATAAAATTACATTTAATACACAGTCTATTTTGGCGTTACCTTCACACATTTAGATAGTTCGGACGAGTAAGGTATCTACTGGCCTCAACTTTTACAGTTAAGGTAAAGATTCCACTATTGTGATTGATAATCGTGAGATTAAATAAAAAAAAGGATATGTACATAATGATAAATATTATGTTTGTAAGAAACGTTAACGGGAAATAAAATGCTAATTTACTAAAAATAAACTATATTTCCTAAATTATAATTGTTTATAAATTACATACATATAACTAAAAGTTTTTTCAACCACTGATAAATCAATTAAAAATGACTATACATGTTTTATTAAATTTCTACATGTTTTACTCATTTTTCTCTTTCGATTTTAATTGTTCAAATTCTTTGAATATTTTCTCACTGAGTTTCTCTCCATCATCATCTATTTGTTCAACTGCTAAGACTTCAGGTATATAAAATTGCATCATGTTTTGTACCTGAAAGATGCACAGAATATTATTAAAAAATCAAATTAAAATCACTATCTACAATATTTATAACTTATGGTCACTCTAATATTCTTCATATGTTCATGTTGTTACTGTTACATGTCTACAAAAACACAGTGATCACAGCTATTTTCTTATAAAAGAAATGTGTTGATAGGTTTTAGCAAATTCTATATTATTCAATACTAACTCCATTTTTCAAAGTAACAATAGAACTAGGACATGATGAACAGGAGCCTTGCATCTTAAGTCTCAGCACTCCATCTTTGAAATCTACAAACAGCACATCACCACCGTCTTCTTGCACTGTTGGTCTGATTCTTGTATCCAGCAGTTCTTTGATCATTTGAACTATTTCATCATCATCTTCATTTATTTCTGTAAATAAATTCCGTTTATTTTTATTTGTACAGGCATGGACCATTAAAATCATCAACCTGCCATTGTCCCTATGGTGGTTTGTAACAAGGTAATTAAAAAAACATATTAAACCAGCTGTTGCTTATGAATATCCACAGAAAAATACATCGCATGGAAGTGGTTGCAAAGCTTTTTGATGGTGCAAGAATTTCTAAAATTTACCCAGTAATTTTTGTGTTATTTCAGTACATACTAAAATATAAATCTTAATAGTATACAATCAACATTACAGTATTATGCATATTCATATACAGTTGTGACACAGTTAAAAAATACTACACATTTCTTTTTTTTTTTTATAACATAAGGTGGCAAACGAGCAAGCGGCCACCTGAATCCGCCAAAATGGCGAAGCAACCGCTGCCCATAGACATCCGCAATCGCAGATGCGTTGCCTACCTTTATCCGACGGAGGAGGAGACGCACATAAAGAGGATATTTCCTCTTCCTATGCATCTCCTCCATCGTCAAATCCACTTTCCCTTCCCATCCTCTCATTAGAAAAGGGTGGTAAAGAGAAAGGGACTTAAATTAGGCCTCCGGCACCACACTCATCAGACGAAACACGGAATTGCTTCCATTTCACACCTGTCTTCTGTGTGGTCGTGGTATTACACCGGGCGTGCCGGCCCATTCGTGCTAAGATGTTAAAGCGGGCACTACCACTGTCAAAACATACAAAATACTCCATCTCAGTGACATTGTAAAATAACAAAATCTGGTAAAGATATGAAATTTGGGTACAACTAAAAGTTCAAAAATACATACGAGTATCTCCCGATGGCTTGGCATCAGTTACTATTGGCAAACCACTGGCAAAGAAATCCATTATTGTTGCAAATATTTCTGGTTTAAGTAACTTCCATTCAACATCATCATCTTGCTTTGTAACTGTTATAAAATCATGTCCGAAAAACACTGCTTTCACACCATCAATGCGGAATATCATTTTTGCTGCAAATTTGTAACAAAATATCATTATCTAAGGTTATATTCCAGTTTTAATTAATTAAATAGTAACTTTGTAAAGATTTATCCATTGAAATGAAGATTAATAATTATATTTACCTAAAGGACTGCACTGCGCAGCTCCAATATTAGGAAAGTCAAGTGTTTGACCGGGTTCAAGAACTTTTGTACCAGGCATAAATTTTAAACTATTTGGATTAGGTGTATCTTGAGTCTGAATAAACATTGTTCGGCATTGACACGAGTTGAAGACTGGTTCTTTACGGTTTCTAGATCCAATAGGATATTGTGTGAAGACACTAAATTGTTTCGCTTGACTAAACCTGTTTCCGAAAGAAAATCAAAGTGATAAATCGATACATTAAATAAGATTTAACATTACGTTGTAGTATTCATTAATTTACCTGTAAGCTATTCCTTGACGTAGATGACGACATGGATATCCTATCCTAAGCATTTTAAGTGCATTTCTTAACATTTTTACAAGGTATAAATATTTAGTTTTCGTTTAATAACACTACAAACCAAACAAATCGCAATACGGAGATTCAGAGGAAAAATGTACCAGAATATGTCAATGTCAATAAGAAAATGTCAAGTTGGTGTCTGCTGACAGTGACAGTTGCTTTTTTTTTTGCGTTTTATACCATAGGCTATGGGTCTATCAGCTACTACAGTATCTTTCCCTTTCGAGACATGAATCTAAAAAAATATTATTGTCCCTGTTGATTATAAACATATATTGTAGTCGCTAAGAACTCTTGCTATATTTATGAAATACGGTACCGAAGGATTTATCCTTCAATCGTAAGTTTTAACTTACAAGCCAATGATAAATGTAGATAAAGGATTGTTCTGCAAATAAAACACTCCAGATCGCATATTTCGTTTATTACTCTTAAATTTATAGGAAAAATATAAAAGTTTCTACATTAGTATTAAGTCTATAATATTCATTACGTAACATCATGAACAAGTTTTAACTAACATTTTCTCTTAGTTCACGTTCAAATCAACCTGAATTTGTACCCTTTCGAAGAGGAAGTACAAATTATAAAGGCTTTATAATAGACTTCACGGCTATTTTAAACTATGTAATATGTTATATTTTACTAAAGTATAAAATCAGACAGTACAATATTTTATATTTACTGTTTTAAACATTATCATAGCAAGCAAGTAAAGAATATTTCTATTTTCTTATTCTTAAAATATAGCCACAAAATAGAAAACATTAAAAATTATTTTATAAATAAGAAGATATTATTTACTATAAATACAAAAAGTATCTCTTGGCTTTTGAATATTTACATTTAAAAATAATTATAGTATATTAATTCATTGTTTTAAGTGTTCTGTAAATTCTTTTTTTTTGTCATCAAATTAAAGAAAAAACTAGAAGGAAAAGAAGTGTTATAGTACTTGCTATGATTCTATAGTTTACAATCCCATAACAATGTTAAGTGTCATTTACTATTCTTTTATAGTTTACGGGTCGCACTGGCACACGCAGCACGAAGGGAATAGGAACCAGTCCATAAATATGCCCGCGCAGTCGTTGCTTGGGTCGTAGGCGAGCAAACGATGCCATTTGTATTTCTGCTCACAACTGCAATCGCCGGAACATCGAGACGTTGATTTCTTACTGGTAAATATAAAAAAAGGATTATATTTTTTACAATGCAATTACAAAAAATAACCGAAATTACAGATTTTAGTTTGGCATCGTCTTATCACATTTCTCGAATTCTCTAACATTCATTCACCTCGGTGCGACCGACGGTTTCGTGTACTAACTTTTTTTTTTTATTAAGTAAAAAAACCACATAACCATAAAACAAACGCTACTGAATGATATTCACCAACACATTTGGTAGATGTCAAAGAATAGCTTAGGTAGATTAGACACGAATTACACAAACAACTGGTCAGTCGGGATCCTCTCACCCACGCTGCGAAATAGAACTTCAAACGAGTTTGGACACCTTCACCACGCCCAGTCTGGTAGTTACAAGACAAAATTTATGCATTTTGAATGTACCTTTGCCCGTATGTTTTAATTCTTTTTTTGCCATTAAAAAATGAAGTTGATACAGAAACTAACGGATCTCAATAAGTACATGCTATTTTGATACTATATGGATGCATTACCTGCAAACTTCTTGATGTATAGCTTGTTCGAAGTGCATTGTATTGACAATTGCTCTCACTTTCTTTGCCGAATTTAAAGCCCAATATGGTGTGATTATTTCCGTCTTGCTTTGGCACGCATCTATTCTGGAATATGAAAAAAGACTGACATCAATGGTGACGATCTATGACGAAGAACGATGTTGGTGGTTGCACGTGCAACACGTGACTCCTGTGAAATGCACTACACACAGAAAATTACTGAAGAGTAAAGTTGCGGTCATTCAGTGCACTTATTTCCTCAGTAATTGATAATTAACTTAAAATGTACCTTTACCTCTGGACCTTGACAATATAATAGTTTCGTTAGTAGTAAGACAATCAATTTTTCAAAGTTTTCTTTTGGCAGGTGAAACTCACGGTTAGAGGTATTAGTATTTTATAAAATTAAAAGACATTTTAGTCAACTTACCGGCCGGTGCTATTGACCTGAGGGTCAGGTAGCGTAGATTTTGAAGCCTGCCGTACATGGCGGAAGTAGGAGTCTCCAGAATGCATGTCGGGTACCCCCGGCGCCCGACGCACCCTCCCGCCTCCCGGTATAGAAAACGAGCCGTACATCCTCTTTATTAACGCTTTGTTCTCGTCTATGAACATTTCTATTTTGTCTCTGTAATATAAAAAGATCTCTATCTTATTTCAATTGAACGCTTATATTATATTAAATTATTTTATAAATCATAAGCAGTCTTGAGCGTTCATAGTAACGCAATGTTTTGCGTATTTGACATTGAACATTGATGTAGATTACTTTGTGTTACGCACAAAAAAAAACCGCCACTGGTTTTCGTCGTAAAGGCCCATACATGTACTTTTGTTTTACAAATCGTAGGAGACTAGTCACTACGAATTTAAATAAATAGGATCAGTCAGAATTTTGTATTAATCGATAAAAGAGAGATTATTTTAATACTTTTATAAAATATGCGAATCTAATTAAACTCACATAGGGTAGGTGTTGCCAGCGGTGGGACAATAGAGTTGAAAGTTTCGTTTGACGCACGGCACGCCTCGGATTATTTGACCTTGAAGTTCATAGCCTAGTGCGAGTGACAGTGCTGTCCAAAGAATCTGCAAAAAAGGTACAAAATAATTGATAATACATCGATAAACCAATCAAAAATCTTTTAAAATACGAGAAACAGATTTATGTGTTTAAATTATTTTTGGGAGATACTAAATAAGCCCAATTATACAAATAAACCTAATAATGTATGTTAGATGTACCAGGTACACTAAGTGTTTGATTCTATATTTTTGGTCATAAAATAAATTACGAAACAAATTCATACAAGATAGCCGGGCCTTGAATCTTAGACTACCAAAGTTTATTGGCGCCACTATGTCAGCTGTATCTACATTTGACAATTAATTATGCACACGAAGCTAACGATTTATCTACGATTCGAATTGCGTGTAAAGTTTTATTGTTAAAAAAACAACAGGCAAAGGCATTGTTCCAAGTGTCTATTAAAAAAATAAATTCGAATTGATTATGTAAATACAAAATTTTGCATTCTACCGTTCTAATCACAGTATAGTAAGTAGGTTATTTCAATACAATACAGTATTCGTATAAAAAAACAAAACGATACGATCACGATGCGACGACGATGTGACAATTTTAAGTGAGACAGATTATAAATAAATAAAACATTAATTAGACGAAGAAGACTTACTATGTTACGACGAAATAATAAATCCATGTTATACGACGACCTACTGCCGTAGAGTTCGCTAATTATCTAAATTAATTCAAAACAACTTAGCAAGTAACCGGCTACCGAAAAAAGGCGTTAATCTCGCCACGCCACACTGCACAATGACTAATATCGTCAGATTCGTCCCGCGATTCCGCGCCATTTTGATTCTGACGTCTTAGTTACAATAAAAGAAAAAAAAACAGTATATTTTATCTATTTGCCAACAAGTAAGCATTTATTATATCTAGATGTAGAACACCGTCTTGAATAAATGACAACCATAAAATGTTAATTTAAATTCAAAGTAGTAACCGCCACAATAGACTATGCAGAGTGAATATTTTTTATTCTCTGTAGCATATTATTATGTATCTCGATCAAACTTAAATGATTTATTGGCGATCAATTTGTCCATTTTAGGAGTCAAACTAGATCGTCGCAAATATTTGGCAATATCTCTTTATTTGGCAACACAAAATTAATTGTGTACATTTTAGATGCATCTATGTCATTAACCTTGCAAAGATAAGATTTACATATTACATTTAGTGATGTATTTATATTTGATTACATACCTCCTGCGGCGTTTGATATTTAGTTGATCTAGTGAACTTTAATAAATTTTGTTGTTTTATAATTTATTTGTTCATAATATCAGATTACCTAATTTTGATAAAAGATATGAGTCCAGTTTATGTCAGACGACTCTGTATATAATGGTAATTAAGTATCTATGTGATATTTGAGGGTTATTATAATCAAAATTTAATTACAATTATTTTTTTATCTGAAAAACAAAAGGATTTGAGACATTAAATGTATTTTATTTCTGACTTGCGGTTGTTCGCGACTTCGTCCATGTGAAATTGAAAATTAAAAAACCTAGCCTATGTTTCTCACAGATAAACTATTTTTTTAACGGTGAAATAATTTTTAAAATCGGACCAGTAGTTTATATGTGAATCGAATACATACAAAAATCCAAAAATCTGAGTCTTTTAATATATTAGTATAGATATAGATTTCATGTAACTTGAGGTCAATGTATAGCTAAGAATGTTCAATTAAATAAAATCTGAATTAGGTTATTGACCCATTAGATGTGCCAGGATTATGTTATGGTAGAAATAAGTGACGCCTAAAGTTCCACTAATACGATCAATAAAAATTCCTTCAAGCTATTCGTATGCTAATTTACTTCTATGGTATAGTACGCACATGTTTTATGGAATTGAAAACTTGTACAATTAATAATACACGTAAATTACAGTTTAATCATTAAATAATTTCTATTCAGAAGGCTTTAGAACAACAAATTTTGATCGATAATAACTTTAGTAACCCTCCAACCCCCTACAACCCCATTAAACCTCGCCCTGAAGAAGAACCCCCGCAGGATCTGAAACTGGTCGCTGCCGGCACCGGCAATAAAATAGCCGTGAGTTATAGACATAAAATTATTAGATAATAACTTAGTCCAAATGTTTGTAACGTTTATGAGACAAAAAGATATTTTCTTAATTTTATGGCTATGTAATTACATGGCGTGGGCGATGGTATTTCACAAATTATTAACTTGACAATGTTAATTGTCTTTCTTTCTAATTTTATGATCAAAATAAAATATACTAGAAAATCAATCAAAAATGATTTTCAATTAAATGAATTCCGCTCGTTTTCATCTATAGTAGTGCACCCCGTGTCAGTATATGTAAGTCATTTAAGGTGTAATTGCTCGTTTGAGATGCAACTCGCGATTTCAATGAATCTCCGCAGTATTCGATACATAAAACCCGAAGATTCAATACAAGTAAATGTACTTGAACGTGACATTTTAAAGTGACTCACGGACAATAAGTTCATTTGCTTTTTGAGTTTAGGAAATGAAATATTGAATGGAATGAAAAAACGAGAACAGTATAAAGAACTTTGGCCATTTAGATATCAAATTCTCATTCAAAACCTTTCATATTCAAATATTTGGGTTATTTTGGCTTCAATAAAATATCAATTTAATATTATTTTGACAATATTTATACCGTAAAAACTTTTTTGTATGGAACGTGCGCGACAACTGCTTTAGACGTGTGTTTATTTAAAACTTTTTTTAATACAGGGGTCAATGAATTTAGATTCATGTAACTTAAAACGTAAAATTCTTTCTTAAGTCTCAACTTCAAACTTGTATTCAACCAATAATGGTTGAGAAATTACATCCAGTCAGTCAAGTAACCTCTAAATATTTTCGTCAGAATGACCGGTAGTTGTCAAGGTTCTATCACCATGAGTAAACAAACGCCTTAGCTGTCAAAGGAACGAATTGTAACTTCCTACGTATTATAATTACATTTTAGAATAGGTATTACTTTTTTTATAATATAAAGTAGCAAACCAGCAAGGAACCAACTGAATCCACCGAAATGGAAAGCGCCCGCTGCCTATAAACATCCGCAATTGCAGATGCGTTGCCTACCCTTAATTGACAAAGGAGGAGACTCACGTAAAGAGGACATTACCCCTTCCTATGTGTCTCTTCCACCGTAAAATTCACTTTTTCACATACTTTCCTCTGACGAAAAGGGTGATAAAGAAAGAGACTAAAATTAGACCTCCGGTACCACACTCATCAGACGAAACGCGGAATTGCTTCCACTTCACGCCTGTTTTCTGCGAGGTCGTGGTATTTCATCGGGTGAGCCGGCCCATTTGTGCGCAGATGTTAAAGCGGGCTCTACCACTGTTTTACTGTTGAAGTTGGCCGAAAAGCATAACAAGTGCCTACTCCAAATCAAAATAAAAAGCGATATTGGCTCCATAACAATGCTAGTTTATCTAGACTAGTAATAAAAGCAAGGTGAACGCACTAACTTTGCTGTACAGAATCAAATAAGGACAAAACATTGAAGTAAATCATATAAATCGGTCACGTAAACTTTATCAGTAACAAGCCCACGCGTGTGACTAATGCGTGTAAGACGCTTCCTGCGCTCCAGCAAACGCCGTCGCAATTCTAATAAGTAGTGTCGGCACGTACTAAAAGATTCAAGACTAGTTTGCTACTGTTTGCTACTTTTGAAAAATCTTTTTGATGCAAAATATCAACATTGATACGACTTGACAAAACACTTTAATATTCCTTCTTAAAAAGCTTATTGCTTTGCGTCGCTCTATTAGCCTTATTTTCCCAATGGTATAGGAGGAGTAACATTTCCGCAGACCAATAGTGACCTCTTGAACTCTCAATGGCTTGAAAGAAGTTATGTCATTCGGATCCCTAATTGTTATAGAAAATTGAGGTGGCTTTTTAAAACTCTGAATTTGTTGTGTTTCCTTCCAGACAAACTTTGACATGATAGTCAATTTATCCTTGATGAAATCAGATCAGTAGTGTCAGTCTTAAACTTCTGTAATGAATGTACAAATACATTGCAATACTTCAGAGAAACTTGTTACTACACCTATTTGCTAGACTCATGGTGCTAGTTCTATTACGTAAATGAGCCAAGTTGATGAATTGCAACGCATGTGAATCATTGTTTTCCCTCGGCTTTTTCATTGCCAGCTTTTCGATACTGAGTCATCGATCAACATCACAATAATTGCAATAATTGACGTAATACGATCTAAGCCTCCAGTTTGAATCAACAGTATTTATAAACATTCACGTATTTTTTTGTCTATTGATGTACATAGTTACACATTTACTTAAGGCGCTCGGCAGACGAAGCGACTTTCGTTGTATTTACTGTAAAAATTCAAATAATACTCGCCAAGTTAGTTTGGGTTTGCTCCAATTATATGATAATTTTGCACACTACAAGTCGTTTACATACTGATTTGACAAATTACACAATGGTGTTAATTGTCTCACTTATATTTGAGTTGGTCATTGATACCACGACTAATAATTTGTTTCAAGCAACTAAATGCGACTAGAGTTGCTCCAGCAGCAAATCGCCAAAAGTTGCTCCGTCTGTACACCGCCGTAATGAAATCATAGTTCGTTTAATTCGCATGATTCGATGATTTTTTGTAAACATTGGTGTTGGTAATTAATGGTGTGATATAACGATTTAATTCGGAAGCTACCGAGTTAAGAATGAGTCACTGTAGCCTGTTACCTTCAAATCTGGGACACCGATTTAATTCCTAAATAAATCACTGGTTAATTTGGACGATATTTCGGACAAAAAGTAGTATAAATATAATTTAGAATCTATATGAAAGGGCTCTTTAAATAACCATCAACCCACTTAATGCAGCCACTACTTTTTAAGGATTATTTACATACTAGCTTTTGCTCGCGACTTCATCCGCGTGAAATTAAAAATATAACCCTAGTTACTCACTGATAACGAAGCTTTTTAATGTAGAAAGTATTTGATAACTGTTCAGTAGCTTTTGAGATATTTCAATACATACTAAAATACAAATCTTTCCTCTTTATAATATCAGTGTAGATTACCTATTAGAAATAATTTCATAATTCAAATAAAACAAAAAATCAAAAGTGCGACAAGACCAAGGTAAAAACTACTATGACTATGTTTACAATTTGTTAGCTGATTCATAAAGTATTACTTATCTCCATTACTAGCTTTTGACCTAGTTGAATGTTGCTTATTTAATTCTAGTACTATTACGTCTGTCTTGGTATTTACTATAACACTAATTAAACAGAAACCCAATTGCTAATGTAACCTAGCTTAGACCTATAGACATTAGGTTGTTAAACTATCGGTAATAACAGTTATTTAGTACAAATTAATGGTTGCACCTAGTTTAGTTAAACACGTTGTACAAATAAACATAATTCCCACAACTGTAATAAAATGCGTTATATACTTCTTAATCGGTTCGCTTTAGGTATACATAAGTTATATTGCATTGAAGTTCAAACACATAGATAATATATAAGCCTTAGAAATAAACGCGTCATAAAGTTAAACATAGGAATAAATTGAGTATTAGTTAAAATACAAATATTTTGCTCATACTCAGTTCCAAGTCTTAGTTTGTACATATTTTTAAGGCTGTAAGCATCTAACGGCCGAACAATGAAACGACAATAAAATTTGTAACAGCGTCTTAAATGATTTGACCACGGTTAAAATCCAAATTCCATTAAAAGTTGACATCTATTAGAATGTAAACTGTGTTTACGAAGCTTAGAAATTAATATTCGTTTCTGTATATGGCGGTAAGAATCGAGCATTTACTAAGATTAAGAAACGCAAGACACTAATTTCGTTTTTCTAAATATTTTAATTAATACTACGGTTATTAAAAAAATAATTTCTCTTAAAAAAATATTTACAATACTAGCTTTTGCCCCCAACTCCGCTCCCGTGGAATAAAACAAACACAAAAACACAATAAAGTAGCCTATGTGTTCTACCAAACTATGCTCTACATCTGTGAAAAATTTCATCGAGATCTGTTTACAGCTAAACCGGCTTTAGGCTACAAACTCTAACAAACATCCATCCATCCATCTAAACTTTCGTATTTATAATATTAGTAAGATTAATACTGAATGAATACTTACTGGTATTTGGTAGAAAGAGCCATTATTGACTGTAGGGTAGGAGGTGAGAGGTACGACAGGCACGGACCCGTTGCGTAGGAGTATAGGTCCTTGCAATGGCGTTACTGCCGGCAGACCCGAATCTGAAATATGAGAATTTTATTTGGTTAAACGATACCTTTTTTAAGGTATAACAATTGGTATCGTAAATTTGGCAGTTGTTTTTTTTTACTACATTTACAAAACATTATCGAGAATCTTCTGTTTTTAGCGCCATTTTTGTTAAAGTATGATAAAAGTATTCCGATCTCTGATCTTAGTTAAATTTTTGGCCTAACTTTGGAAGACCTAATTCTCAGAGGATTATACATTTATTATTATTATTATTATTTATTGTAACTGTTAAAATCTCAATGTATTATTAAATTTGCATTTTGTTTCATGAAAAATTTATTTTTGATATTATGACACAACAATTGTCTCTGGTAATTTAAAAGCATATAGAAAATTTCCATGTGTGTATGTCTGTGTATAATTTATGTTTGATTTCAATAGACATTAGTTAAGACAAGTTTAATTTCGACACGTGTGGGTGCGTCACATCATTTTATTCTGATTGCGAAAGTGTTCGGTTCTTTTTATAAGTTACGACTCATTTTATATCTAATTAATACATTGAAATCTATATTTTTCCCTATAGGACTAGTATTTAAAAATAGGTTTACCCTGTAGGGTTCTTTACCGGTAGTAAAAAAAATTGTTTTAAATTTTCCTGTGACATTCAAAGTTTTGTAAAAATATTTATTGTGGAGTTCTTTTCTTTACCTAAAAAAGTTTTCATCTTAGCAGTTACAGGGTGTACCCTTTATCTGCTACGGCATCAAAAGTCTCTGGATAGGTTGTATCAGTTACCAACACGAGTTCGATTTTCTTTTTTTTTATTTTAAACAGCGAAAGGGAAATAAACTTTATAATTACTATTGTCATATAGGTTTAATGTTAGAGCCGGTAGCAGGACATTCTAATCGCCAGTCATTACCGCTCCCTTTGTCACCTTGCGAAGTTATTATTTCAGTGTAATTGTATCAAGCACAATCGGTGCAAAAAAGAAGCATAAGCGTGCTTTAACATAGTTTAGTAGATATTATTTTAAGTCACCAAAAAACACTTAAACTAGTCAGACAGTTCAAACTCAAAGAAACGTGAATACTGTGGCAATGAAAGTTGTTAATTGGTCTTTAAGAAGGCTTATTGCAGATGTTCCACTAACGGCCGTATACTGAAACGACATTTAAATAAACAACGTTGCAGTTTCTTGATAAGATGATCGGCTACAAATTCCATTAAAACGTTGACGTTCAAATCGTAAGTGGCTCTTATGTAGCAAAGTGCAATATTATTTCAGTATTCGGCCGTAATTAAAAATATTTAGAGATAACAAGTACTTAATTTGAGTACGGCGCGGCTGTAAGTAAACGATTTTATAATATACGTTAATGTCTTTTTTTTAAATTTTATATCCATCATATTAATTACTAAAAAAAGAAACAATGTGTTATGTATGATGAAATTTGGAGTTGCATTAACATAATTTAATTTCAATAAATACGTTGCTAAGAACAATTTAATCATTAAAATGTAATAAAATACATATATTACATTAAAATCGTGCCATTAACTAGACAATGATTTAGTATAAACGTGAACTAAGCCTTATTTGGCTTTAATATCAATGCATTTTGATACTCTTACACAATCTCCGTTATACATTTTATATGCTTTTTGTTTGAATAAATCCATAAAGTTGTGTGAACGGGCAATGCATAAATTTGAAAGCATTAGTATAGTATTTAAATAGACACATAAAACTGCAATCGGATGGACATAAAACGGCACTCCTACATCAGATCTCAGCGCCTAAATGTTAAGTAAGATATCTAAATTTAAACTTACATTAACACCGCCAATATACTTATTAACAAAATTGTTTTGTCTATTTTTAACATAGTACAAGAGGTGGAAACATTTATGTCCATGTGGTTCAACGGCCACAGTTAATTTTATATCTTACTAATCTTACTAATATTATAATTGTGAAAGTTTAGATGGATGGATGGATGTTTGTTAGAGTTTGTAGTCTAAACGGCAGAATGGATTTCGGTGAAATTTGGCATAGATATAGAAAATAGTCTGGAAGAACACATAGGCTATTTACTTTTGTGTTTTTCAATTTCACGCGGACGGAGTCGCGTGCGAAAGCTAGTTGTTCATAATATAAGTATTTGGTACGTGGCATGCAATAACTCTTTTAGTATGGAAAACAATGACAAATTTCTAATAGACAATATATAAAACTCCATTGCATCTTGGACATAGACACAAATTTCTTAGTGCGAATTTATAAAATAATTTCACAATATTAGAAAGAAACTAAGTACATTTCGTAATATGAAATCTTTAAATCTATATTATACAGAAGTTTATCTAAATTGAATATCATACATCGATTTAATTTTGCATTTAAAAGTATAGTAAAAGCCGTAATTAAATGACCAGATAGCAATCGCTTTTTGTTTATTTAATATTAATATTATCATAAATTAAAAACTTAATCATGGAGAATGTTTCTATATGTTTTTTTAATTTATTATTAACTGTAATATGTATAACGTATCCAAATATAGCATACTGATTTCGATAATTAAGATATAAAAAAGAAAAATTGAGTTAGAAACAAAAGTGTACTTAAATTAACCTTCATAATTATGAAAGTTGTTACACAGATGTAAACATGTATGTTAAATGGATACAGACATTTCGACAGATTGACCTGGCTTCCGACACGATCGACAGTCCATCCGAATATTTTTAAATATTTAGACATTTACATAAACATAAGGGTATGTTTCCACTGTCACAACAATTTTATCAACATAATGTCACCTCATTCACACCACTAAAACAAAGATTAATATTATTTTTAAATATAAATTTCAAGTTTGAGATCGTAATTCATGTAAACTGATAAAAAGACTTCAACGCGTAAGTAACAAACTTTTGACACCACCAACTTTCACACACCAGCTTTACTCCCTTTTTACACAATTAACATAAAATTGTACATAACTCTTAACTTTTAAAAATATATGGCTTTATCATGGCCAATAAACCAACTTTATAAAATGCTTTAGTTTATGATTTTATAAGAAAAATAAAACTATCATAAACTTTATTTTGTATGCAAGAGTTCATATAAACTTTATAAATGAGATCAAGATATGCAGTATTGTGCTATTTCCGGTCGCGACGGATACGTAACAGTTGACAGAAGATATGCTAATTAAATTAAAACACGTTGTAATAGTCAATCCTTATCGGTATAAAAATAGACAAGATGATGTGAGATTACATTAGCATCCGAAAAGACACTTCAATCAATTTAAGAACAAATTGGGACGAAATTTTGGGTCTTATAAAGTCAATGGCTGTTGCTCGCCACTACGTCCGCGGAAAGTTAAAAATAAAAGCCTATATTACTCACTGATAACGTAGTTTTTTTTTGGTGTAAGAATTTTTGTGATCTGCTCAGTAGTTTTTGAGTTATTGCAATAAATACAAAAATATAAATCACTCCACGTTATATAAGTATAGATTAAATTCAACTTGATTTTGTTTGTTTCAGGTTTGCAGTGAAGATAGAAGTTCCACGAAAGTCTAAAATTCTGCCTTAAAATTCGCAACATTATAACTTAAAATAGATATGTTCCATGCACGCTAAAGTTAACAAACTTCACAACAGTAAGTACTTAGAGACTTGTATACTCTGTATTTCGTAATTGTGTTAATGATCTAAACGTAATAGTCTTACTTGACGTGCCATCTTGTGTCTCAAGGTGAAGAGCTTAAGTATAAGCTAGCAACGTGTTAATTCTACTTAGTTTGCATCATACTTGCATAAACGTATAAAACTATTGGCATAGTCAACGGTGAACTTGGAGGGTAATCAAGGGAGTAGTACAAATACATTCATCTTATTCCAAAAATAATGCTTATCAAATTGTGGTCTATTTTTCATTTTAAATTCATATATGGCAAGTCCATTTTGATTTATAATCTCTAGGAATTGTAGGATTAATAGTAGTCTGTTAGTATTAGTACAGAAATTATATGTTATAAGAAGCGAACAAGCCCTAAGTAGAACGCAATACAGAACTGACCTTAAACACGTTATATCATTAATGAAGTTGAATGTTACAACCGGACCGTTATCAATAGAGCCTTCGCATCATAAATCTTGCAACTGCAATACGCAGTTGTATACATCTCGTTCGATATAACATACATTAAGGACCTGTCCCACCAAATTGTTTATTGTCTGATAACAAACCAACGTGTAAAATATGTAATGGAAATATCGGATTTTGTTCCCATATCTGACAATGACATTTTTAAGCTATCTGAGCTTCCATTACCCAGTGTTGGGACAGGCCCTTAATCTTATATTATCATGGAATTCTATTGCCGTAAAATCTATACTGCTGTTGCATTTTTGTCAAAGGAAATGAGCAGGATGACAGCGAAAATACACAGTAACTCAGTAAGTTTTGTTTATTAAAACGTGTTCTGTTTATTTGTTGTAACGTTTCCAAGGATGTGTGCAATTCAAACCAATACGCGGAATCAATAACTTGTAAAGTAATCCATCGATGGAAAAAGAGAGCACAAAACCAGGCATATTTTGTAGACAATGACAGCTTGGTTAGTAGCCTTAATAATAAACAATGTATGTTGTAAATAAATACATTTTAATAAATCCTACGTAATTGCCCACGGAGACTTCTATTTGGTGTCCACAAATGGTAAGAGCACTGGATCGCTAGCTCTAATTTTGTTTTTTATATCAATCTAATTTTAATTCATCTTAACTAGACTAATAAGGAATACTTCCTAGACTTAACTAATTTAAATTAGAGCTATTAATTAAGTTTTGCCAATTTTTATTGCACAAGTATTGAGTTATAATAAATTATTTGCAGAATTTTAAATATCTTTCAGTTATAAAAGCTGCAATTTATGAACTGAAATATTCACGAATCATTACATACCTATACTTAAAGAATGTTTAAGTATTTAAGGACTCATTGGTATCGCTAGATCGGAAAAAGGCTCTAAAGTACAGTCAAGGACATTTATTTCCTCATCTCATTTAAATTTTAATTGTCACAGTCGCTACGCAATTAGATCTAAAAGTTATAGCACTACACATTTGAACTAAATAACTCTTATGGTAGCAATATACTATATCGATCACAAATGGGAAGGGAATTTATTTCTTTAGCTATACGTTTTTAATAAGCGGAAGGGGGACATAGTGCATATACACGCACCTTGATTATAAGCTATATAATAAATAATGTTCGACAGTAAAACACAAAGAAACTGGTCCGGCGCTAACGTAAGGTCGGTATTTGAAAGGGCGCGGCGACGAAGGTATTTGCGGTCATTGGTCATTTACTTTTCGTGGTCTAAATGCATAAGCAATTAACTATTATAATGGCGCTTTGTCTTACTACTGTATAAGGAAAATGCCATATCAATTTAAGAATAACATTCATAACATTACAGTTAATGTGAAGCTATTTATTGTTTAAATATTTAGGGCCTGTCACACAACTGGCTGATAGAGGCCCAGATAGCTTAAAAATGACGTCACTGTAAATTAAGGGGACGAAACCTGATATTTCCTTCACATATTTTACACGTTCGATTGTTGTCAGACAATTTACATTTTGATGGGACAGGCCCTTAACCTTTTTCTTGAACACTGGACGTAACAGATTAAGTAATTAAAACAAAATATCAATTTTGGATCTACACCTATGTAAATAGTAAAAGTTCGATATTTACTTAATAAACAACCCCATATCAAAGTTAAGTAACAGCAAATATATTAAATTAAACGCATCAAAATACATAAGTATAATGTTATAAGGTCCATTACTTGGAGGACGTTATGTAAATACTTTGCATATGTATTCAAACATGTTTTACTATAAACAAAGGTGTATCAAAACGCACAACCCGATTAAAGACTTCTTCAAGTCTTGCGACATGTCACTTGTACTTGTTTCACATAAACAATGCGACAAATGTACTGTATAACGAGAGAAGTATATGATATCTCAGTAGTCGCGATAACATAAAGGTAGTAAAATAATCATCTACGTGCCCTTTTCCTCGCGAACTTGAACTCTTAAAGAAATAAACTTGAAATATACATATTTTCAGAATATAAATAGTTCAAAATACTATAACCTTTTAAAATTATCACTAGCCTAAGTATAATAAATACATAAAAATATATAATCTCATCAGAAATTTAAATAAATTCGAAGTAAAGTTTATGCGGATGTTATATTTAATTGGTTTTCAGGAAACTTTGACCGTTTAAAAAAAGGTTTTATCTGCTAAATGCTTTAAAGTGAATGTTATTGTAAAATGATAAATTTCGTTATTTCAAAATCTTACAACTTATGTGAATAGGCGAAAAATTGTGGAGTAAACACTAACTTTTTTTATTTAAAAATAATAATTGGCATGGCATTACTTTCTTAATAATTGTGTTGCCACATCTAAATTAATAATTAAAAACTCTTAGTATTCTAAGTGAATATTTCTTTATTTAACTCCGATACATCGTGTATCGAAGTTAAAAAGTGAATTGCGATTAAAATAAATAGGTTTTTAGTATTACATACTAACGATATTTACAATTTTACGGTGACATTAATAGCGTAATAATCATATTTACGTATTTAATAAGGATAACGGTAAGTGACCGATTCTGAGGTAAGTGTACTTGTACAAGTACTATGACCTCTCGAGATGAGTTGGAAAGTGAAACCAAGGTCGCGATGTCTGCGCGATGCGGGGACGCTGACTTTCCGACTATGATATTAGTGTTAGCTTGTGATGTAAAAATGCTTTTTAGTTAGGCAATTTTTAAAACAAGTGGAATCTTATTAACAACTTGTAATTTACAAACGTGAAATAAATCTATTACAAGATATTTATTGTAACATGCTGTTTGTTCTTGTAAAGAATTTATTTTTAGGTCAGCATCATTGAAATGTTATTAATTTTTAACTAGATGGCGTTGTTTATATCAAAATAATTAAACGCATGCCATGTGCTACAGTTTACTATCCACATATAAATCTCGATTTAATACAAGTTCAAAACATACGTAAACTTAAAATATCTAAATGTTTACAAAGCAAGATAATAAACAAAACTTTACAATGTTTGGAATTAAATTGTTAAATCAAAGTGGATAATTTGCAGTTATAACATATATGAATATGCAAAAATCTATCAAGCAAAAATAATAACAATTATAATTTTTACAACAAAAAATTGTTGCTTAAATTTTTGATACGAATATCATATTTACTTTGACCAAATATTAGTTATTATTAGTTCCAAACGTTGCAAGATTCCTCTACTATAGAAGTATGAAAGTGTTATATCTGATTGGTGAATGAAACGCTATGAAAAAACGATACTTAAACTTTGGAAACAAAAGAGCATCTGTTACCTAGCTTCGATATTCAAATATATCCGAATGTTCTTGTTCCACGGATCATAAATCTTCATTGCAATTTAATGACGCGTATCTTAAAAGCGGCTTTGGGACCTTAACATTTGACATTGTAAATCATACAAAGTGTACGCGAATAAGAACATTTAATTTGACTTTGAACTTTACGAGTATTTCTGATCACGTTTCTCTACAGAAATGGGGCATGTTCTTTATCCTCAATTGCCTTGTATAGCTGAATGTGGTTCGCTAGAGAACTCTAGGACATTAGATTATGAATCAGCGTCCTCAGTCCATTGTTTGTATGGCATTTGGCATTGCTTTTAAAGTGACCAAAGACCCTAAGTAGATTCAAGATAGAAATACAAACGACCCGTACGTAATACGACCTTGTGTTATGTCGACCGATGATCGAAAACTCAGAAAAAACTTCGTTTCGTGTCTTTTACTTTTTAACGTCGATTTTAATGTGACGTTCAACTAATAGATAAATATACCTCTTCTCCACTATATGTTACACGTATAGTATTGCAACTCGGTTACAATAATAAAAAAAAACACTAAAAAAAATAAAAGCATTAGAAGAGAACTTCTAATTCTTTTATTTTAAATTTAAAGTAAAAATATTTTGTGAGCACTAGCTTTGTTCACATTTAATTTTCTTAGATGATCATTTAAAGTGGGGCTAGATAGGAAATATTAGTATTTAAAAATTAGTGTCAAATTACCTGATCCAGAATCGTCGTCGTAATATTCGTCATCATCATAGTCGAGCACAGCATGCAGCTGTGTTTTGCCACCGGAGCCGCCGCTTTCCACTTTTGTGAACCCGCGAGGCTGGTCAGGGGGAGCGTTTACATTGCTCCGACCTCCCGCATTATTGCCACTGCCACCACTGTTACCACTCTTAGTCCCCGCATCCGTTCGCGGCCGTTGCGTCGGTGACGTCACCGGATTATTCCCAAAGAATTTGTTAACTGGTTGATTTGGTACTCCATCCAATCTTCGACTAGACGCTTGGACTGGCGTAGTTGCAGGCGGGTACGGACTGTCCGCGTATCCTGGGTTATAAGGTTGACGTGGTGTACCGTCTTTTTCTCTCCTTTGTTCATAATCATAGTCTCCGGTAGGATCATGGACGTACTGCCCTGTGTTGTCGTACTGTGCGTTGACACGCTGATTAGCACCGCCTATGTCGAGTCTAGTGTTCCCTTGGTACACTTGTGCTTGCATTTGACCAGTGAAAGGGTTAACTGGGATATCTTGACGCTGGTATTGTGCATATTGTTGCGGAGGAGGAGGGAGGTATGCTGTACCAGCTCGCTTTCTTAGCTTCGATCGCTTTGGCTGAGCTTGACTTTGGGGTGGAGTAAAAGGCTCATTACCAGGATATTGTGGCGCGTACTCCTGTTGATAGTCCGCAGGGGAGTACAATAAATCATCTAGGTCTATGTGAAGAGGTGAAGAAGTCGTGCCTATAACCGCTGGGGTCGCAGCGCCAATGGTTGGCACCGAAAAATTCGCTACAGCCATTTCTCAATATTCACTCGACATACGTTGCATTGTCAACATCCAAAGCCCCAGCTGAACAACCGTTACAGATTAATTAGCATAGTTATGTCAGGTAACTTGTTTTCTTTACGTAACTGAATGTCTTCTCATTGTTGCATATTGCACTATATGACACTCCGAGAAATCTGAAACAAGAATAGAATATATTTAAATTTATCTCGAAGTATTATTTTTGTTATGTGCCAGTTAACAAATGTAATACACTAGCTTTTAAACAAACGTTTATTTTTGGATTTCCCTTATTCATTGACATCCTTGCGACTTAACAAATGGCACTGTTGTTTGAAAGGAGAATCGTGACGCCTCTTTATGAATGTCGACATCGCACAGTTTTGGACTCGAAATACGGGGAAATCCGACTTAAGATATGCAGTTCGAACTCTAGAATACCTTTCACCTTTATGCCCTTGAACATACGATAAGTGTAATATTACGTCATAAATCTCATTTTTTAGAGTTAATATCTTACTAATATTATAAATACGATAGTTTGGATGGATGGATGGATGTGTGTTAGAGTTTGTAGCCTCAACAGCTGAACTGATCTTGATGAAATTTGGCACAGATGTAGAGGATAGTCTGGAAGAACAGTCACGCGGACGGATTCGCGGGCAAAAGCTAGTTTATAACAATTTTTAAGTGACAATGAATTATAGAAATTCGGTAGAAATATCTGTTATTATCTGTTTTTTTTTTAGCAATTGATAGTAAAATCAATAACAATAATTTGTACTCCACATATTGTAAATTCTTTTGTTTTGCATGGAATAATTTCCATGCAAGGATTTGTCTTTAGTATGTAAGTTATTCGTGAATGTTTCTAATTTCGGCATAATTTGTCGCGTTGTCCTCGCACGCCTCACAGCGATCGTATCTGATCACGATGCGGGTATGTGGGAATCATACGATGCTATGTGAACTAAACAACTAATTACTAGTGAAAAACATTCACATTGTTGTGTAACGCGGTTGTAAACTATATCAGTGTTTACGTCTATATTTTGAATTATCACCCATTGTTAGGTAACATTTTAATTTGTACATGAATAAATTTTATATGTCTTTTGTTTTTATATAACAGTTGTTCTATCCTACAATATAAGCGACTAGTTCTTGCTCGCTACTTTGCCCGCGTAATATTGAAAAAAATATTTAATGGCGCAAGAATTTTTGAAAATACCACTAGTTTTTGAGTTATTTCAATACATACAAAAATCCAAAAATACAAATCTTTTTCTTTATAACATTAGTAAGCGATAAGTCTGTTTTTGTTTATTTCTTTTATAATGTGTAAATAATATTGTCGTCTTAATATCCTTTCGATTATAAATATCAAGTGGTATTTGATTTGAATACATTATTCGTCTCGTGATAGTCTTTTACATAGCAAACATTCGTTGACGCAGTGTGCTATGAATTTTTATAACCCTTTAGAGTTTTCATTTCACATTCTAGGAATTGTATAGTTAAAGGTAAACGTTAAAATATTCTCCGCAAATTATTGCATTCGATTTACATTTACCCATTCAAGTTGCAAATAATTCAATGTCTATGTGAATTATACTTACTAGTTATTTAGTGAACTCCCCACATTCAAGTGGGATACGTTTAGAGAATGTGCCGTAATCTAAAATCGTTATAAAATATTTTGTATGCATATACAGGATTTGTCTTAATTTTTTAACCGTAAATTTTATAACAAGGATCACAGATGAGTTTGATGGTACTTTATACTATAAGCCTAGTAATGTCTAAAGAGTAGTCTACCGTTGGTAATAATCTAATACATCGTCACAAACAAAATATCAAAGAAGTAAATGTTATGTAAACACAGTTTTGATGTATTACATAAATTTTCAATCGAAACGGTCAATTCGATTGAGGACGACAATTAATCATTGATATTTATGTAACTTAAACTTGTGCGCTTTCGTAGATATTTAAAGCGAATTTCATTGTAAATATCAAGAAATGCAATTTTGAAACTGTAATCACGTTGGACTCATTTTCACTTTTTGACATTTTAGAAAGAACAAAATTGTATACGATAAGGAAAAAGTTGAGAGGTTTTTGCTACACAAACTACATATATGGTTGCCTGTACATTATCTGTTTTATCCAGATACTAGCTGTTCCCGAGCGGCTTCATCCGAATGAAATTATAAATACTTTATTTTATTGTTTTTATATGTCAAATTATCAATTGCGAATGTCAAAATGACATGACATGATGACAAACCATGGCAACCTTGCTTCCTTAATGTTGGCAGTTTGTAGTTTATGGTCCCTTTCCCACATGAAGGTTTTTTTTTTCAATTTATTTATCCTCCAAGTTTAATAGCGTAAAAAACAAAGCCTAAAGCGTGTCGTAACTGTAGGGCTTGTTATTAAAGAAATAATTATTAAAAAATATGTTGTAATTGCTGACATCCTACGCCACAAAGTAGTGTGTGTTTACGCTTTATTATATTAGTATTTATTATTATGGATTTAGTGGAACTATATTCCTTATAGCCAAAGTACATGGTACCTAAGCACCAGACGAAAGCTTCTTGTTTTCTTCCTATTGGTTTATTCCATTCGTTTACAACAGCTTTATGTCTCTTACATAAAATATCTCTTTCAGTATACGATATGCAGAATTCTAAAAGCATCTTCGAAAGTGGCTCGATGACATCATAACGAACAAAACATCAAGAATTATAACAGCGTCTGTTCGTTACGCAATCGTATAAAAGTCAGTTGACTAATCAACTCGAGATTTTGTTTTATCAAGGTAGCAGTTGAATGTTTGACTTTGGGACCGTTTTTCTGGATATTTAAAAATGCTGAAAATAGTTACAAAATAGTTATATCATATTCATTTTCCTAAATAAAACCTGCGTTGGATCGCCATTGCAGTTTTTTACATTAATGGATGTTTACGGGTAGTTTGGTAGTGGAAACTTACTTTCAAACAGTTATGATTTGAACAAATCGAATACTGTAAAGCAATTAATAATTTAAATAAAAAATGAAGGCTTCTTACAAAAATTAAATAGGAAAAAGCTCATATTTTAAGGATTTTTTAAGTTTTACCAAACATTGGTACAAAGAATAGGGGCAGAAATTCTTGACACATATTTTTAAATTTAAACTTTTTCAATAAAAAGTGTAACTTTTTAAATAAAAAGTGTCTGTGATCACTTAAAAGTGATATAATTAGTGAAGTTGTTGTATTAAATTATTTGGGCTGTCAAAAAATATAAAGGCGTTACTTGAATGTGCTGGTGAGTATAACACGATCGAGAGATTGTTCTTATAACTTTTTGTCGTTCAGACAGATCGGAACAAAAAATATGACAATGGTCATTCACTCTTCGAGTCTATGAATGGGCAATGTCAAATATACTTTTTTACCATTTTCCGGTATAAATTGCGTTCTAATTTTAGCGATCCATTTTATGTCATTTTATTAAATGCTGGAAGCGTTTATTTTAATAATTCACAATACGACTACATAAATAAAATTTTGCTAATTTAAATATGTGAGGATTTGATTATATTGTAAAATGTATTTGTCGTAAACAAATAATACTTTTAGTACATAAGAGTGAATACGCAAAAAGACTAACGACCTTGTCGTTATATACTACGTGTAGAATATATAACAAGTCCATTGGAATGTAACAATGACCGTGAATGTGTAACAGTCAGAAGATTTTTTATAATAATTGTTGAAAAAATATAGTTGTCTTTCGACTATCTTTTTGTGACGACCATAAAACTTGTTCGTGTTATTATGACGTGGGCACAAAAAAAATTACTGAATGAATTTAGCTTTTAGATACATAAGAAGTTAGTGTACATTGAAAAGTTCAAGGGATCATTCCAAAGCTTTTAAATAGTTTTAAAAAAATTCTATCAGAACTTATAATATGTTGTTACAGTTTTTACATTCTTTTTTTGTTGACATAAACGTTGCCATGGCAACTATAGTCGTTATACATTTAAGTTCGCCTACAGTATCGCACTCTAAATATTTTGAATATAAATTAGGCGGTCGTTAAAGAGCTCTATATTTGCTTTACTGAGCCAGTGGCGAATATTAGTATATTAGGTTAGTTTATCGTATTTTACATACTTTATAATAGTATATGTGCTAGGCTTTCCTGTTGTAAAATATAGACAGAAATATATAAAGCAGTGAAAACAAACTGTTTATAAAATTATAATACGACGATTACGCAGCTGTCAGTTTTAAAACTGGCAATTTAATTTGACATGTATGATTAATGAATAAACTGATCTTTAAATAAAGTAATATTTCATATTAAATATTTAAAAAACATCTAAATGCATTTTAGTAGTACATCAATTGCAAAATAGAGTTTTTTAATAAACTAGATCTCGCCCGCGACGTCGTGTTCGTGAGATAATAAAAAAAGTAAATAGCATACATACATATGTGTTTTTCCAAGAATATTCTCTACATCTATGCCAAATTTTATCGAGATCCGTTGAGCAGTTTACGCTGCAAACTCTAACAAACACCTATCCATCTAAACTTTCGCATTTATAATTAGTAAGATATTATGATTATAATATTGTGTAATTTTCTGTGACCACAAGATTCTGTTTATTGTTTGGTAAAATATTTGTACGCTTAGTAACATGTGTAAAACAAATACAGAATATATTTCTATATGTTAGAAGGTGCGCTGACCTACTTGTATCATTGAGACAAACATCGACTGCAGCGATGTTGACGATTTGTCTTTAAGGAATAGAATGTTATAAAGAGGTCATAGTTCAAATCACCGATCGACAAGTATACACTGGATGCCCTTTTTAATGCATTTAAATTTTGACATAAAGTTAATTAAGTTCTATTTTCTGTTATTTTATAGTCGCATTTTTTATGTTATCTATGCAAATACAAACTTTAGCTGACTCCGTCCCCGTAGAATTAAAGTAAGTATGTGTTCTTCGATGCCAAATGTAATCGATATATATTTATTATGTTAGTAAGAAGTCATATTATAAATAGAAAAGGTTTTTATTATTTTTACGTGTAAATACAAAAACAACTGGACGGATTCCTGAAACTCTTTTGCTATAAGAATGTTACAACGTGTCTTATTATAAACTATACTTTTTTATTTATTTTTAATTCCATATGAACGTAGTTGTGACCTAGAGCTAGTTTTATATATTAATTGAATTAAAATACTTTTAGGAAACAATCAAGTCGCAAAAGGAAAGTTTCTTAAAGGTTAAATGCGTAGTAATGTAAGGACATTAGGTTTTGAGAGAGGTCAAAAAAAATAATTATAATTTTTTATTTAAAAAATGAAATCTCCCGAGATATTTTTATGATTTCCGAATATTATGACCTTGTTTATTTAATAGGGGATATTTGTATTATAGACTGTAAATATATCAATGTTAATTGGAGTGTAATTACATTTTTTTATTGCCCAATATAAATGCATCGTTGACATTTAGCTGTCGAGTGCAATCGAGGTGAACTTTTCTCATTATCAGAATGTGGTTTACTTTAGATTATTATGAAACAACGCTTTCACTTTTATATTCAGCCATGTTAAGGTTAATGCACTTATGAACTCTTGCATTAAGCTTTTATTAAAGTATCCATCCTTTGCCTCTTTAAGCTTTTGAATTAAAAAAAAAATGTCTGTGATCTTTGGTAGTTTTTAGTACATGGCACAAATTGGCGCTTATTATTGAAGAAAGGTTGTCAGATTATTGACAAATTCAATTTAGATAAACTTACTTCGTGTACAAATTTAATACAATCAAAAGATAAACTTTCGTAACTTTAGGTCAAAGTAACATTACTCGTAAGGTGAAGATAATTTTTGATGATGCAAGACTAATCCCCATTAAATTTCACTTTAACGCTGAATTTGGGCTCTTAATTGTGTTAACTGGTGAATTATTATTATCGAAAGTTTCGAGGAGGCAATGTAGACAGTTTTCACACGTTCGTTTGTTTATAATTTTATTTTATTCTGTCAACCCTTTAAATATGTAGAAATTTTTAACTATATCATTATATATGGCATTAAATAATAAACAATGTTAGTTATAATGTAGCTTTCTAATGATAAAAACATGTTAAATTCCGTTTACTAGTTTAGCCTATTCAATGCAAACGAACAATTAAATCTATCTTCTTTAAGGCTGAAACTAGATTTTTGTCCGAAACCGAAAGCTCGTCGCTTATAAATAATAAAATAGATAAACAGATTTTCCAGTCGCACCAATACAGGACGTAGACATTTTTATCATTTGGATTCTAAGAATTAATATATAGAATTAGAATTAATATTTTGTATGACAACATACAAACGTTTCCTATGTGCGTTATCTGAAACGTGTCATTTGTCACTGGACTGGCTCGCGGAAGTCTAAAATTAAATGTCAGTGGCACTATCACTATCATTTATTCGCAGGCTTTGTGTATGTTTGCAGTTTTTATCTGACCACCGGTTGAATTGGAACAACCTTGAGTCCGGTGTCGCCAATACACGTGTTTACGCAAACACAGCATCTCAACGTTCATAGGCGTCAATGACAAAACCCTAGCCTCTCGACACCATGTATTTTAAATATAAGATTTTATAATTATTTATGTTTTACTTATGTGTTGTAGTTAAAAAACATTGTCTTGTTATTTTGTATTAGGTTTTCTAAGATATTTCTATTTAATTTACTTTTGTTTGATTCAAAGGAGTCAGTGTAACAATAAAATAATTCAAATCAAGGTTACAGTTCTAAAAATATTGCCGCTAGAATTTTAATTATGCGTAAACAATTTAGAGGCGGTTGTACTAAACTAAATAAATCATTATCACATAATAAAATCTTTTACCTTATTGTCCTCGTTTACGCCTTCGAGCAAACGTAAAAAAAAAACTCAACGTAATGTTTATTTTGCTTGACAAACCGAGTACGGTTTCCACAGACTATAACCGAGGTAAACTTTATTGCGTTATTATATCAGACGATGCGTTTCGTACAATTTGGCGGGCTTTGTGTTTGGAAATGGAATATTGAACGCGTCCGTTCGCGTCAACGGTTACGCGGGCACTGAGTGGTGACGCGAACCTTTTACTTCTATGATAGGCTCACAAGTGTCACCACGGCGGCCAGTATACACTGTTGTATAAACTTCCGATAGCGATGTTCCGGTTGGGTACTAATTACCGTGAGGTGTCGAAGATAAGCGGATGTTATAGTGAATCGAATCGACTTGAATGATGCTAAAATTAGCCACATCTCCTCAAGGGATGTACACTCGATTATAAGTCATTGCTTTCAAAAAGATATTCCAACATCCTTCGGTGACTCGAGACTTTGTAAATCAATCGTCAATCTAGCAAATATAAACTGGCAAAAAATAATGCCATATTTTTTCAAGTAGCTAATTGAGGTTTTAATTAAGATTAATGTTACCATATTAAAACATACGGACATTAATCTTAATTATCTTATAATTAAATCTGTATATTTGTTTAAAGATATTGTTAATGTAGATTGCAAATGCAAACTGAAATCGTTCAATTACAACTGAGTTTTGACCGAAGGTAAGATTGTTCGCTCACTTCGAAAACTCAAATACAATCCTAGTGGATTAATAAAATCAATTTTACTAAGTTGTTCAATTTGACGTTAAGATGATAATTTTACGTTTCTATGTGTAAGTTTACTATTTCAATGTTTGGAAGGAAAAGACATCAACGCTCGCGCAGTACTTTTTTATTAATCAAAGTGACACATAATATTGCGTTGTATTAGGGTATCCCTTAAATATTTCCCTACGTAAAATAATTAACTTCTTTTTTAACAATACTTAGATAACTTAAAAAATCTCCATGAAATGTAATAGTCGTTTCCCTACTAAGCTATGATTAAGTAACCAAACAGGTTATTTATATGTTTAAGCGTGACAAATAAGTTGTTCCGTACAAGAAATGAAGATGTACACGTAATAGGTTTAGATACGGTGATACAACGATTGAATGCATGTAACAATGAAGTTCATGCGATTACTTTTTAGGGTTGTCCAAAATTTATTTTTATTACTAAAAAAATAACAATAATACAAGTTATATAAATTAAGTTATCTCTATATTAGACAACTAGCTGTACCCGTGCGACTTTATCCGCATGGAATTATGAAAATTTTATTTTATGGTTCACATTTGTCAAATTATCAATTACAAATGACAAGATGACATGTCATGATGACAACCTTGCTTCCTTGATGTTGGCAGCAACCTATGGTCTCTTTCTCACATTAAGGTTTTTATACCAAATGTTTATCCCCTAAGTTTTATGGCGTGAACGTGACGTAAGTGTAGTACTTTTATTAAAAAAAGAATTATTCAAAAATATGCTGTAATTGCTGACATCTTAGGCAACAAAGAAGTGTGTGTTTACGCTTTATTATAATAGTATATAGCATAGACGTAGAGTTCAATTACATCTCTTCATGGTTCTTTTCTGTTTTCTTTGCAATAAAAAAAACTTTGTGTTCTCATGCACGTGTTTTCCCTAACTTAAGAAGGCTCGAAGTAATTATGCAAATACAATGTGTCAATAACTAATTAATTGGCTATTAAGAAATTGAATTATTGCATCTGTTGATTTTACTTTCAGAATTGACATTATCACACTAATTCCATGCAAGTTTGAATGAATATTGATTGAACGACAGTTGTTACGTAATAAGAAAATATGCAGCAGAATCTGAAGGCTGGTGTAAAAGGTTAGATGTGTAGAAATTATTTATTGCCACATTTGTATCAACTAATAGTCTGTAGAAACACAGATGATTAGTGTAAGCTATTCGTATTCTAGATTTATTTAGAGCTAAGAATACGAATACATTAACTACTCGTAAATGTCCTTTGTCTTCTGTTATTTTAATTTATGTTTAAATACTGATTGTTGCAAATACTGAACGTTTACACCGATTTTATAACGCCAAAACAACATAATTTCGTATTCGATTTGGTAATTGAAAATCATTTATTAATTGAAATACTTAAAAGATTGTTCATTTATGGCGATAACTCTACTTTATTTTCGTACATAATTTAAAAAATACATTATTTAAATTGTTGCTTTCTAGTAGGTAATAAATAGTATACACAATTTCGTGATAATCGCAGTATATAAATATTTCTTAAATCTTTTGTTACATTTAACATGTTACTGCCCAGATTAATGTTTGCAATGGACAGAGCTTAAGCTCTTAAACAAAATTTTGTTACAATAATTGTATTATAAAGCTAAAACCTTCAATACATTCGAATAAGTAGACAAATGCATAGATACCTAAGGTAGTTTATAATGTTTATTTACAATACGAGCCTATAAATAGAGTAAGCGTTCGTAAGATCCGTCAACTGTAACGAAACGCCGATGGAAAAACCAACAGTGGTACATAAATTCATTGTTTGCTCGAAACAAGTGACAACGCGCCACGAGACATGATGAAACTGGATCCGTATTAATGAAGGCAAGTTTTTTATTTTTTATTTACCGTGTCATAAATTATGAATCGGTTTAGCTCTAATTAAAGAAATAGAGCGGTATTAGATGACAGTTTGAATTTTGGTTTAGTCGTAATGCAAATGAATTTACGATTTCATTTTTTAACATGACATCACTAGCCAAATATGCGGATCATTCAATAAAAAGTTTGTATAAATCCTCTAATAATTAAAACTGTGTTGATTTTTTTATTTCAACCCAATAAAGACCTTCAACTTTTTTAGAATAGACATCGTGAGAATAGTAACATCGATGGAAACCTGCGGATGAAAGGAGATTGCATGTGGCTGAGATGCGTATGTTAAGAGGGATGTGTGGTGTGACAAGAATGGATAAAGTTAAGAATGTGTACATTAGAAGAAGTTTGAAAGTAGCGCCAGTGGTGGAGAGATTGAGAAGCAAAAGGTTAGCGTGGTATGGACATGTTATGCGACGAAACGATGGGGATATAAACCAGAAGTGTTAAGATTGAATGTGGATGGCTACAAAGGAAGAGGAAGACCGAATAAAGTATGGATGGATTGTGTGAAAGAGGATATGCTTAAGAAAGGAGTGCATTCAGATATGACGGCTGATAGAGATGTATGGAAGAGCAGCACATACTGTGCCGACCCTCCGTAAGGGATAAGGGCAAGTGGATGATGATGATGATGAGTAACATCGATGGAAACCGTCAAAACGTTCAGTCTAGGCAATTTGCAATCCTTGTTATTTAGTGTTTTTCGACCTGGCTAACGTTTAAAGCAGGATAAAGAAGATTAGAGTCAATATCGAATCTTAAAATACAGTTTAATTACAGCTCACGTAATTCTTAGTCACATTTAAGATTGTACGAGTAATTTACTATATTAGTTCTCAGTTCTTTGTGCGTAATTAGTATTTGATTAAAATTATCCAACCAATGGTTACTCCAATGACGTAAATTCGACGTCTGCTGGTATGAGTCATTGTATTTGAGTTCCGCGCCAAAAATTACATAGTTTATAGAATTAAACTTTTCAAATATTGTAAAATATAAACATGTGAATGAATGAAAAAAGAGTGACAATGCGATTTGAATGCAAAAGTGAATAGCAATCGAAGCGAATAAAAAACGATTAACATTACATAATAACAATAAACATAACATGATAACCAAAGATTATGGAGAAAAATTTACAGAGATGTGCCAAAAAAACAATAGAATATTCTCAAATTATTATATTCCTAATCTCTATCTCAACTTTATGCGTATGTTATTGTGTTTGATTAACATTTTTTTGGTTGGTTTATATCGTGATATAAAGTCGACTTTAACCTTACTAAGGTGTGTAAACTTTTTTTAAGCGATATCACTCTTACAATATATTCGTCCATAAATATTGATGTTAAATAACTAAGCTTTTCCACATAACAATAGAACCAGTAACAGACAGAAATTTAAATAAAAAATTGCTTTAATCAATGTCCAAGACACATTATACTAGTTTAAAATGTATCTCATTGTCCGTCTATTAAGATAATTAGATGCAATAGAACAAAACAATGAGTGTTTGTACACAGTAAGTATACTGCAACTAGATACAATACACAGACTAAGTTAGCCTCTATAAAATAATTCAGCATTATTGCAGTATATCAATAGAATTGTATTAAAACTAAATTATTGCATTCGTAATCTAATTGCAGTGTAATTCCGTCTCGCATCTTGTAATCACATTGTCAGGGTTTTTATGGGATTTCCTTACTTCCGTAACATGCTTGGGATTTTCTTCAGCTGGAGTTTTTGCTTCGCGTTCCGTTCTCTTAGTAACCGGACATGTTTCTTGGAATCGATGCGGTAGTTTCTGGTCGCAGACTGACCATGATTTTGTTTTTTTATCAGACTAAAGTTCAATTAGGAGGTATATAGTTATTGCATAACAAATCTTTAGGACAATAAACTCTACGGTCAGAATCGTTTAACTATGTAGGCGTTGTGACCGCTTTTGAACAACGCCTTTGCTCTATATTTATGGTTATCGCTCAACAATAAATCGATATTAACAGGTATTTATTCAAATGACAAGGACATTATTTTTATCAATGATTTATAGTATCAAGAGAACGAAGGCCTTTATCCATGTTGGTCCGTGAAATACAAACTAATCAGAACTGAATTTAACATTTGTAGAAGTTTATAATAATGAGCACAGATACAGTAAGACAATAGCATGTTCAAATATTACTATGACCATTATTTAGTAAGAAAACAAATTGTAACTAAGTTTTGTTTCATTCTTGTTGATTTTCTTTTTCTTATTCAATGTTTATTAAGATTGTTCCATTAAGAGTATTCCACATTACTTCGTACGTATACGATTGCTCTGTATAACAACTTGTTTGGAATTTTTAACTATATCCAATTAAATTGTTTAAACTTTCGTGAGATATTTTTATAACTAATTATTTTACGGCTATTACTTACGTCTATTTTTTGTGTAGCGGTACGGACCAGTTTCGGACCCTTCGGGGGTCCTTTTTCAGGGTGTTACAGTAATTGAAAAAATAGACGA